TTGTCCCCCATGTCGCGTATGTTCAGCATGAGCGTAAAGAATTATCGCACGTAATCTCGCACTGATTTGGTGTGGCGGATCTCCCGTTGCTTTCTCCGTGCATTGTACTCAACATTTTCGAGGAAGAACTGTAGGCGTATGGATGCCTTCAGTTCTGCCCATGTCTTGAGAGTATCGTTACCGACCCTAATGGCTTCGTACTTCACCCGCCACCAGAGTTTAGCATCACCCTGAAGATACATGGCAGTTGTTGCTACCTTCTTAGCTTCTTCTAGGCCCCCCACGGCATCTAAGTACTGTTCAATGTCGAATATGAAGTTTTTCACTTCTTTGGCATTCCGAGCTCCACTATATAGCTTTGGCTCAGGAATTTTTAGTTTTTATGCCACGGGGGCGAGGTTCACATCACCCCCGATTTGGTTTCCGCCTCCTCGAAGCAGGCCTTGTAGAGCAGCATTGACAACATTAAACTGGCCTGTCAAGTTGTCTATAATTTATTGCATGACAGTCACCATGTATGCCTCTTGTGCCCTATAGGCTAAATCCCCGGCACGCTCTTGTTGGAGGCCCTTGAATTTACCAAAAATTTCGGCTGCCTCTGTGGGTGCCGTTTGCCGGTCTCCCTCAAAGTCGTGACTGATGTTCGTAATGTCACCTTCAGCCTGCCGTATCCTGCGGTCCAGGTCATCCAACCTTTGCACAAGGTTGGTTCTTAGATCATGCACAGTATCCACGATGGCCCATAATACGTCAACAGTCTTTTCAAGGACCGCGATGTGATCCCCATGGTCAGAAATAGTGGTAATGGCCATGTGTTCCCTCGTCCGATGTCGAGCCTAGGCTCTGATACCAACTCTTACGTGACGCCTTCCTGGGATTTCTTGGAAGGGCGACATAAGGCTAAGCAATCGATGTCTCTGTAGTTATTATCCGCCAACTGAGGTCCCTTCTGTAAGCTAGACTAGATTGTCAATGCCATACTGGAAAACCAATGTCAAGAGCAATTGAGAGAACAGAAAAGAGAAGTGAGAATGAAAGAAAGCTTGATTGCATTAATGAGAGCTATTATAAAAAAGCAACGCAATGTCGAGGGGGAGAGACACCAATACAGAAAATTGCATGCTTGCTAGAAAGTTTGATTGCTTGATCCCCCCAAATAATACTTAAAAAAATAAATTAAAGTTACAGGACTTGACCTAACTAAGCTAGAGGAACATAATGGAAGTACATGAAATAAAAATACTCTATATTTACAATGAAAATGACTTAGTTTTCTACAAGGTAGAAACATATCCGTTGTTAACAACCTTGTCTTTGGCATCACGGTCTGCGCGCGCGGCACTGTTGGCATCTGCCTGCGGCTAGGCGCTGGCGAGGTCTATCGGAGGGGCGACAGAGGCACATGAGTACTTGTCACTTGGCACAGCCAAGACCACGGGGTCGTCCATGGCGCTAGGCATTGGAAGGATTGGTAGGACGCTATGGGGCGCGTCCAAGGGGTCATGGGGCATGGCTGGAAAGCTTCCCACGATAGTGCTCATGTGAGAAGCATGTGACCTTAGCTTCTTAGAAGCTTCTTTATGTACAACTGGTGCAATATATATCAAACGGCTGAGAAGGAGAGATTGTGAGCCTCCATGATCTCTCCACGTGTAAGGCTAAGACTAAACAACGACCAAAACAATACAAACACTTAGGGTTCTAACATAGAGAAATCTGAAAAGCCCAAGTATTTGTATGAGAGGTTCTTTCATCTGTCTTCGACTCTTCCTTTTCTATGTAAGGATGATCGAAAACTCTTTTCTCTTCATCAATACTATTCCCATGGGAGTATCTACAGTTTGGGGCATGGGTTCACGTAAACTCATGTTTAGCTGTAGTTCTTCAAAATTATTTAAATATATATGTGTGCACACATCACACAAACTAAAAGAGTCTTATAGTGTAATAATTATTAGATGCACTTTTACAAGTGAAGTAGGGATTTTAAATCCCGCATTTATATTGTTGTTTTTAACTTCTTCTTCTTTCTTTTTTTCTTTTTGTAAAATTTAGTTTGGAGGTTTAAATCTCACATCTATATTAATGTCTTTCTCTTTTTTTTAGAATTGGATCCACGTGCACCCATGGGATGGGCATGTCTTGTGTCCCTATTGCCTCATGATTAAATTTTTTTTTTTTTTTTTTTTTTTTGTTTT